GGCACCTCCTCCCGGCCACCGCCTCCGTTCATCATCGTGCGCCTCGCGTCCTGTCCATTGCCCGCACGTGCGTGAGCAAAAAGAACGAAAAACGAAAGAGGAGCGAACCCAAAGAACGAAGGCGAAGGCATTTGCGTGTACAGGAGGAAGGAGTGCCGAGGGCGGTGCGAGAGCACACTGCTCGCTGGCCCGGAGCCACGGGAACGCGGCCGCGTACTGGCCGATGGTCATCACCCCCTGCGCCTCCTCCCTCCCCTCATGTAGGCCCTTCTCGCTCAGGAGCCGACGCACCCGCTCTGCCAGGTGGCTGCCCACGTCCTCCCCGGCCAGCGCGCACGCCGGATCGAGCCCCCCTCCTCTGCCGGTGGTGCAGGCGTCGCTGTCCCACCAGCCCCCGACCCTCTCCGCTTGGTCCAGGCCCCAGCCTCGTCCTGCCCAGTTCTCTTCTTCATCGCGTCGCCCCTCGTTGGTGTTGGGGAGCAGCGCCACCACCCGAGGCCTCGGCTGCGCTTCGTGCTCCTCTTCCTCGTGCATTCACGCCACAGGCGAAATAAGCTGACGTGGCGCCAGGTCAGCAGGATTAAGAAAAAAGAAATGGTCTGGGAAAAACGAATTGCCATTAGGGGCAGCACATGGTTTCGTGAAAGCAGGAATTGGGCAGAAGGAGACGAAGGTGGTCCCTGGGGTTTTCACGCGCTGCCGCCAGCACTTTCGCAAGGCACGAACTACCTACCCCCGCTCTTGCTTGAGTTGAAGGTACCAGCTGTGCTTTTATTCGTTGCTTGTTCCCGGGCACAAGAAGCGGGTACAAAATGGGCGAGCAGAAGTCTTTCGCTTGACCACTTCGCCACACCTCAACGTTCCACCCAGTACAGTGCAGTTCAACATGTCGCAACCACCACCGGCGCTCGGCATATCCATCGGACGAGACCAACTCGTGGCCGCCGCCTACCTCCAGTCCCACAATGCTGCGGTCGTGGCATGCCCGCCCACCCCAGCCCTTGTCGCCCTTGCCCCACGTACTGCCCCCTCCTCCG